GTAGCGTAGTTGGTTGAGGCACTATGCTACAGTCCAGAAGGTCACGGGTTTGAATCCCGATCAGGTGAACTTTCTCAATTTACGTAATCCTTCCAGCCGCATTATGCTTCGGGGTCGACTCAGCCTCTAACAGAAATGAGTACCAGGAATCTTCCTCGGGGGTAAAGGGCGGCCGGTGCGCAAGACTGAAAACCTCACCGCCATCTATCAGCCGATTGTCTAGAAAAAATGTGGGAGACTCGACGTCTAACAATTTTATGGACCTTCACGGCCTGTTAACAACGATAGCTTTACCTTTTTTTACCTTACGAAAACTAAGCTTAGGTGTTGTTATTTGTCAACATACTTGTGACATGGCCCTTGAGCGCCGCATCACGACAGAATCTCTGAAACGGCCATGGACTACTTGTACATTACATAAACCACGCTTTGTTATTCATCGATATCCATAAAAATCTAAAATTACTGGACAGAAATTAGTGAAAGTCGTCCAAATTTTTAATGGTTTGTCCAACCGCTCGGACACGGACACTGCCTAATAAAGCATATAGAGACAGAATGGTCAATTACAGGGTTCCAAACTGTCTCTTGCTTTTATGGAAGCAAATACTGTCCCTCAGCGTCCATGATAACGTGTGGCGGAGCAGAGGTACGTCTGTATGTATTCTTAATCCCGGCACTAGACCGAGATGAGTGGTCAAATTCACGCCCCGGCCGCTATATTCACGGGGAGAAACATCTGTAGACACCGTCCAACAAGCTGAATGGACGCCAGAGACGGCACAGAAGCTGTGGAGTAGAGAAAAATCTTCTGCCCCTGCCAGGAATCAAATCCTGGTCGCCCACACCGCATCCTAGTCCCTTTGTCTCAGTACGACGCACGTAACTGGAGAGTTGTAGCGCGTGAGCCCGTTCAAAGTCAAGGGACGTGTTCCTCTGAAACGTAGGCTGACTTTCGATGGGCTACATAGTGTTATATAGCAAGAGAGAACGCTTCATGACCAGCGCTGTGAGAACCTCAAATCCTACATAAGAAAGTATCTCTTTGAGCTCTTAGAAACGAGTATCCATTCGTAAAACCGTGCCGCCGTACGAGCAACAGCTGGATCCATGGCCTCGTGCGAGTGTCGCTGAATATCCTACTTCAGATTTATAAGAAACCAAACAGATAAGAGACTGTGTCATGACGGGATTTCAAATGCAATCTCTTGCAAGTGCAACGCTGCACTCTGAGCAGTAATATAAGGCTAGACGGAATGCTGGAGGTTCAGTAGCAGCAATGGAGGCACACAAGGAACGGAACGAGGTTTCATCTCCCTGGTGGTGTCACTGCTCATCGCTTCTGTGGCGGTAATACAATATTTAACTCTTTAATATTATCAGATAGGAGACCTCGGCCTGACCCAGCCACTCTTCATACCAGTGGCAGTCCAATCAGTCTGTTCCACTGGGCCAGTCATTCTTCATACCAGCTGCAGTCCACTCAGGCAGCCTGTTCCACTGAGCCAACCACTCTTCATAACAGTTGCAGTCCAGTCAGCCTGTTCCACTGAGCCAGCCACTCTTCATACCAGTTGCAGTCCAGTCAGGCAGCCTGTTACATTGATCCAACCACTCTTTATAACAGTTGCAGTCCATTCAGGCAGCCTGTTATACTGACCCAGCCACTCTTCATACAAGTTGCAGTCCAGTCGGGCAGCCTGTTACACTGACCCAACCACACTTCATAACAGTTGCAGTCCAGTCATCCTGCTCCACTGAGCCAGCCACTCCTCATACCAGTTGCAGTCCATTCAGGCAGCCTGTTATACTGACCCAGCCACTTTTCACACCAGTGGCAGTCCAGTCAGGTAGCCTGTTACGCCGACTCAGCACCCTCGTGAGCTCTTTTTTTTTTTATTTCTAGTGGGGTGGGACTAAGTCCCTTGTACTGCGGCCACTTCTGGCCTATTGTACCAGCCCCAGATGATAGGTGAGGGTGATTGTGGAGCAATTGGTGCAATAAAGATTGGCAGGGGAAACCGAAATACTCGGAGAAAACCTGCCCCAGCGCCACTTTGTCCACCACAAATCCCACTTGACCAGAGCCGGGATCGAACCCGGGCCGCCGCGGTGGGAAGCCAGCAACTAACCGCTTAAGCTATGGCGTGGCCAATCGTGAGCTTAATAAATGCTTACTGACATTACTTCGTGATGCTATTCTCGCAATCAAACAGATGTCGATTTTTCCCTTTTGATTTCCTCAGACAATGATGTAAATATTTATGACTCCCAGTAATCACTATCCTTACCACTCCAACCTTACTCCTTTCTATCATCTTCCCTGCACCGACATTGCTTTTTATTGTGAGACTGATCATTTTGTGTACTAAAATTTGACGAGATGTGAGCTGAGCCCCACATAAATTCACTGTTAAACATGTCCATTAAAGCTGAACAGATGTTTCGGAGGAATATGTCGCCCCCATTTTCAGAGTAGAAAAACACGCCAAGCAAGACACTAGCCCGTAGCAGGTAACAAGTATCCCTGTAAATGTCAATGTATGTGGTGGGCATGACTCCTCTAACCACATAAATACGGTATTTCTCTAAGCCAGTTGTTTGCCTTCCTCTGTTGTCTTTTCCATGATCACAATTTCGGTTGTAGTGACATATGCATACATATTAAGGAAACGGTGTGAAGTTACAGACTGGATAAGCGGCCTCCGTAGTCTAGAGGTAACGTTCCCACCTCATGACTCGTAGTACGCGGGTTCAAACCCGGCGGAGGTCGTCGAATTTTTAAGGGCGGAAAAATTCAGGGAACAAGTCCTCCGGGAGGGACTTTAAGCCGTGGATCCCGTGTCGTAGCTTTACGGCACGTAAAAGAACCTCATATCTCCAAAGGAGGTCACTAACCCAAATTAACGGACGTTTCCCGCCCAACAGCAGTCTCTAATACCTCTGGTAGATGGGGGAAGCATTATAGATACCTCTCAGCTAGTAGAGCCGGTCTCGCTGGCTGGGCGGGACTGATGGTAAGCACCAGTACCGGTAGGATATAGAGACTGGTAGAAATCATAGAGGGAAGCACAATGGACCAATATAGGTCTAAGTGCATGGGGAAACCCACCCTCTCCAATAACTAACTAACTAACTAACTAACTATAGACTGGATATGTTTGGGTAAGCACAGGGCGTGTGTGGCTCCTGTGAAAACTGTAATAAATGGCAGTGTCTAATTTATGCAGGTGGAATCAGGGTGACATAGCGGCCTAACAGCTACATCTGCTGGAGTGAAAGGCATACCACTCTTTAGCTGCAGAGTGGTACTGCCATTGTGTCTGCGTGGATAATATTGCAATACCAGAAATTAGTTCACAGAATTACTGGGTTTTTGGACTTTTTCCGTCGTCCGGAATTCTGAGAAATAGAAAACACGACGTTTCGGAAACTGGATCTGTTTCCGTTTTCAGGTGATGAAGAAAGAAACCTATTTAGTTGGGCCCCTTAGAAAGAGCTAATCTCAATCAATCTCAAGCCAGTGACTGAGATTAGCTCTTCCTAAGGGGCCCAACTGTGTAGGTGTCTTCCTTCCTCACCTGAAGATGGAAACAGATCAATTTTCCGAAAAGTCGTATTTTCTATTTCCTAGAATTCTGGACGATGGAAAAAGGCCAAAAACCCAGTTATCATCATGTGTCTTATCCACCATCGTCAGAGCTCTTTAGAATCTACGGAAATTAGTTGTTTACATTTCTGTGTTTAGGAGACTCAGGCTGTGTTCTTCTGTCCCAGATGTAACTCGTCTATTGTGAATCATAATTTTTTCTTCTTAATGTATTATTCAACATGTTTCCGTTGGAAGTATAACGGGATATTATAGACCTACCGGTAGTTAACACGCGCAAACACACGCTAGTCTTGTACTCCCAGCGGCAACTGTGAAGGTTGCTACTTTTCATGCAAATGCACGCTCTGATGTCCCTTATCATTAGAAGTGATGGTGATACGAGGCCGGTAAACACAGGCAAACAGGTAAAGTTGTTGCGATTCACAGAGTGACTATATCACGTTTGGCCACTGTCTATAAAAGTGAACGTATCAAATTTCGTGACATCTTCATTCATTCATCAACGGCTGAAGAGCCTTTTGTTGGGACCCGGTAGCTTTTTCAGTTTCTTAATCCAATTAACACTTTGTAGGACTCCTTCAACAGGGATAAGCCCGTCACAAGGCCGCTACCTACACACGGAACAACACATATACAGAATAAACGCAGAGAGACATTTTTGTCTGGACTGTGATTCGAAACCATGACCCCAATGTTCGAGCGGGCGAAGACAGTTCATGCGTCAGACGGCGCGGCCACCGTGATTTGCTTCTTGGCATATAGTCCGCCTGAAACATCTCTGAAAGTAGGCCATACTTTCGGTATGAACGTTAAGGAAAGTCCTCTGTGTTCCAGATGATCTCCAGTAGGTCCACTCTGGTTCCTGCCGTTATGGTGTAAGAGAACGCCTGATCATGCAGCACCTTCACAGATGTTACGAACACTCCCTCATTTCCCTCATTTAGTGGCGATTTTGAAGTATAATAATGTTCATTAATATATTTATGGCTTCTTTAAAGATTTGTCAGTAGCTCCAAGTGTTTTGCGTGGGATAGTAGGATGATTAGTGAATAATTAATTAGAAATAGTGTGTAAAGAAGCGATCGTGGCCTATTTCGAAATCCTGCGCCACCATTAGCCTGGTGAAACTGAAGAAGACAGCGAAATCGTCAGCATAGTTGATGTTCCTGTCGGGAGTCAAACCGAGCACATCATGAATACAATTCTGGCCGGTTACCTCTTAAAAAAATTTCCTCGATCACGAAACTGGGTAAGTATACCAAGCTTACGGGGGGAAAGACAGGACACAGGTCGCCATGCATTGTTGTTTGCATTCGTGGGTTATCTTATGACGCTGTCAGTAGCCAGACTACACAGTGTCAAAAAAATATGCACTCAACAGCATCCAAACATTTCAACAAGTTTTATTAACATCAGCCAGTCACTTCATAACCCATACATATATGTCGTGTGTAATAACTCAGAATACCTTCCCCAAATTTCAAGATCCCCTCATTGATACATATGCAATACACATCATTACATTTCTATATGAGACCACATGATTTTATATTATGCCTATACGTTCATGAAGCACGCAAAATTACAAGCGCCTCTCAAACAGTTCAATTTTTACTGCCTAAGTATCAAAATCAGGAAATTTTAGGTTACGGAGATCGTGTATTTCATTAGTTTCCATTCTTGGCCACCGAAACATGGCGACCGTGCGAATATTCTGTAAGTAAAGGTAACCGGCCCGGGGATCGGTTGGAAGTCAGTACTTCTGGGATCTGTGATGGAAAATGGTTAAAAGAATATTATCCTCTGTTGGAACTTTACGAGTCTATCGTCTTTTTGTGATCGCATGCTGAGTGTTACATATCTTTGCTCTTTATATTCCTTGACTTTTCATCTTATAGTACATGTAGGGGAACAACAGATGGCAGGAGTTTCACATCTGCTTAAACAGTTCTATTGTTTTCAGGGTAGTTCTCCAATTTTTATTTGGACAGGTAAGGTTGGAAGTGAAACTGTGGAAATATTAGGCCTTATTACGTTTCTGAAACAATTACACAGCGTTCTTTGTCAGAATCGAACTTACTGCCAACAGGACACTCCCTATCGACAAGTTGATATTTGTTGGAACTGATGGAAATACATTCGCGGTATTTCCTACTGTCGCCTTTAACTGGAAACAGGCCTTCCTTCTTGCAGATAAACGTACACTTGGACGTTTTGATGTCGAACTCCTCTCCTTCGGCGCATTTAAGTACTATGGTTGGACTGTCACGAACGCAGAGGCCATAAACGTTAGGATCCTTGGGATAAATAACGTACTGAAATTGGGTCTTGTATGTGCATTTGATGACAGCGCAATCAGAGCTGGCCCTTCGGCGGATACAAGACACCTTCTCATGGCTGTAGACGAAGTTTTCAGAGCAAGTGAAAGTTGTGCTTGTCGACCCAATACAGAAGTGGAACTTCTGGCAATCGTTCGGGTCAGGAAAATATCCGTCATCAGTACACAGGAATTCGGATTCGGGAGCATCGGGTGAGCATTCCGAGCTAGCGGAGGCGCTGCATGCTCCGTCTGTACAGTACGGCTTGCTGGGATCCGCGTCGGCGCAATTGTAAGGGCCAGCATTCAGGAAATCTCCGTCGGCAAGAGGGACGCAAAACGGCGCGCTGCTGCAGTTGTAGCAGGTGTTTCCCGTCTCAGAGCATGTTCCGGGCTCCACGGCGGCAGGAACGGTCACAGTGATTTCTGTGGAAGCCGGTGTTACAGCATCGTCCAAAACTGTTTCACACAGCTACAAAAAAATAGCAGTAGAAAAATTATAACTGTAAATCATGTAAAAGATTGGAGAGTCTATGTGTTTATAACGTCTCGTCGTACTTTCTGCACTTTTTCGTTCAGTTACGGAAACAACGTCTGACACGTGATGAAATTCGACAAGTACGTAAGTTATTCACGGTAAGGCAAAGGTATCCCTGTAACGGGCCGTGAAGGCCCATAGGATTGTGAGATGTTGGGGCTCCCACATTTTCTAGACACTCCGTTAACAGATGGAGGTGAGGTTGTCAGCCTTACTCACCGGCCGCCCTTTATCCCCAAGAGGATTCCTGGTACTCATTTCTGTTAGAGACTGAGTCGACCCCAGGGTCATAGTGCAGCTGAGAGGATTATGGTAAAAAAAAAGGTAAAAAAGTAAAGCTATCCCACTACCGGGCCATGAAGGCCCATAGGGTTGTGAGACGTTAAGGGTCCCACACTATCCAGACAATCGGCTCAAAGATGGCCTTACGCGCCGGCCGCGCTTTACTCCCCAGGAAAATTATTTAATTAATTCCTAGTACTCATTTCTGTTAGAGGCTGAGTGAACCCCAGGGCCTAAGGCGTGCACTCTCTTCGCCCGCTCGGAAGCCGGGATCGTGGGCTCGAATCCCACTCAGGGCATGGATGTTTGTGTGCGTTTTTCTGTGTTTGTCTACAGGTAGAGGCCCTGCGATGAGCTGATCACTCGCCCAAGGAGTCCTACCGTATGTGTAAGATCTAGTAAACCGAAGTGGTAGGCCTAGGCCCAAATTGGGGCTGTAGCGCCACAGAAAAAAAAAACCCAGGGCCTAGTGCGACTGGAAGGGTTAGGTATGAGTACCAGAAATTAATTAAATAATTTTCCTGGGGAATAAAGCGCGGCCGGCGCGTAAGGCTGACAAACTAACCGCCGTCTTTGAGCCGAGTGTCTAGATAATGTGGGACCCTCAACGTCTTACAATCCTATGGGCCTTCACGGCCTGGTACAGGGATAGCTTTACTGGGAGGATTAGGTAAATTAAAATAATCCACCTCATCGGGATTCGATCTCGCGACCTTCCTACTTTTAGCAAAGTGTCTCAACCAACTACGCTACCCCATGCACCCAGTTCTTCACAGTGCTCTAACTAATTAAGTAAGTAACTAACTCCACAGAGCTGGGTCCTTGAGAAGCCGCTACTCTCTCAACTATTTTAGAACTTCCCCAATATTTTATGGAACCCAAAGGTTTATCACTGTGTTCACAAGAGCCCTCAATTGGTCCCAGTCATTCACAGTACCCTAAAAAATAATCTGAAAATGTCAACACTCTGGAGCCCAAAGTTAATTTAAACATTTACAAAATTAAGTTCATACCGCATAGCAGTCAGTTAATGCTCTTTAGGGAAATAATCCTCGTTTGTTCTGACAATCACACGAAATGTATAGATACAGTGTGGAGTGTGATTTGAGATTCTTCCGGCGACTTCTGAGATGTGACGCCGCGTAGTCTGGTAGAGGAATATTCTGCCTGCGTCTAGCGTTTCTGGATGCCAAGACAGAACTGAAGCATAATTATTGTAAGTGTGCCACTGAGGAGACAGAAATGTAATGTGAGGGTAATCAAATGGATCTTAAAGAAAATGTTGTAAACTGTATGGCACTATGTCAGGACACAGTCCATTGTAGGAAACTTAGAACTCTGTCAATCAGTGAACTTTCCACATCAGGAGGACACTCAGTCAGGCTGCAAGCTACGTTGCCTTCCCATCCGTGTATCATATTCGAATCACATGTTTTCACTAATATTACATGTAATAACGTTGATAATTAAATTTTAATTTTAAAATCTGTCTACAGTTATATAGGGATAATCTAAACAAATTTTTGCAGTGAATGCATCCACTAGGCTACTCAGAAATATAAATAAATATCTGCTTAAGACTTAACTTGCCCTGTTATGTTGGCCGCGTCACAGCTCAAGCGATTAGCCTCTGGCTTCCCAACGCGGCGGCCCGGGTTCGATACTGGATCTGGTCAAGTGGGATTTGTGGTGGACAAAGTGGCACGGGAGCAGGTTTTCTCCTAGTACTTCGGTTTCCCCTGCCAATCTTCATTCCACCAATTGCTCCACAATCACCCTCACCTATCATCTTGGGCTGGTACAATAGGCCAGAAGTGGCCGCAGTACAAGGGACTTAGTCCCACCCCACTAGCGATAAAAAAAACCCTGTTATATTACGCATGTCCTAAGTCCTTTAACACACCGATAAAATCCTGTCAATGTAACTTAGTCTGATCCATTTGAACAGTGTCTCACAATGAAGACGATGTGTCTGTTGGGTGTGCCGTGAGTTTATACAGGCTTTCAGAATGGACAGATTTTCATTAAGTTTTGCACCGCCAATACCAACCACATTGATTAAATATACTTTTAGAAAATGCACCCTGAGTTTACAACACGAACTAACCGAGGTTTCATACACTCGCTGCTGGTACTACGAGGGGGAGACATTCCTTCTGAGCTTTCAAGCAGCTATACAGTCAACAGAATTAATTTATATTTAATTTAGAGGCTATACTTTCAAACCCGCATACTGCAGCATATACCTGCTTACATATATACACACAGTAGTAAAGGAAAGCTGATACGTGGAACACAGTTACGTGCACAAATAACACACAGATGGAGGCAGAACTTTCCTCCCAAATATTAATATTTACCAGACTGCGCGGTGTTACATCGCATCCATATTCACCGTCACGAAAACATCAAATCTCATGCATGGTACTACAACAACAATGACAATACAATAACAAGTTAGGAAATATAGGAATAGCATAAAATTTTCGCTTATTTTCTCATGTGTTGCCTCCGGATACTCAATTCGTGAATTCTTCGTTTTGATGTAAGACTTGAGGTTTTCGTGGCGGTGACTAGAAAGAATATTGTCTGCTGGGATGTGACGCCGTGTAGATCTTGTGTAAACCGACGTTTCGGAGAAAGGTCGTTTTACACAAGGTCCACACGGCGTCACATCCAAGAAGACGGCATTCTTCTACCTTTTAATGTTCTCGTGATTTTTTTTCTGTGGCGCTACAGCCCCAATTTGGGCCTAGGCCTACCTCCATGAAACACTCCGTTTCACTTCGGTTTACTAGATCTTACACATTCGGTAGGACTCCTTGGGCGGGTGATCAGCTCGTCGCAAGGCCTCTACCTGTAGACAAACACAGAAAAACGCACACAAATATCCATGCCCTGAGTGGGATTCGAACCCACGATCCCGGCTTCCGAGCGAGCGAAGACAGTGCATGCCTTAGACCGCTCGGCTACCGTGACCGGCTAATGTTCTCCTGATAGGAGCAGAAAATGGAGGACAGCCAGTATGCAGTTTGGTCAAAATCAAGAAACAGGTTCTAGAGCTAAGAGAAAACACAGCATAGAATTTTTTTCTTTCGGTGACCTCGAAATTCGAAACACTTATAGAAGAAGAGTATGAGCCATAAATATGTTGTCATCCTAGCGTACAGCTACGATAAACATTAGCGAGTTGCGTCCGAGATGCAAGCAGAAACGCGCGTAGGTTTACAACTGAAATGTCCAATACTAAACAACGTCACCCTCTGGGATGTGAATGCGTAGCAGTTTCCAGGAGTTTCGAAAGAACTTATCGCCTCCATCTTAAGCGCTGAAGAGGCCAAGACAGCAAGCAGCGAGCATAGTACTCACAGCGACAGCCACTCTGCTTACTTGCAAGGCTTTCTCTTCGACGCTGAAGATGGTTCCTCCGTAACATCGGTTATATTATATCAGACAACAACCGTCAATGCCCGTAAATATTTTTAAGATCTTGACCAAAAATTGAAAAGTGTGAACAAATTTCAACAAAACTCCACAACATCAAGAGACAATGAAAATCCACTTAGTGGTTCTCAAGTTGTTTACGGACGGACAGACAGACAATCATGGTAGAGTCAAACAAATTTCTTACCGCCTGAGAAGCGAAGATAAGTAAAATCGCCTGGGCAACAAAACATCCAGTCCTGCGCGCCTCCATTTCTACAGTCCCTGTTCAAACCCACTACTCAGCTTTATATCGTCTTCAGCACGACACCAATTGCGCAATTATATTAGTGGTTTCAGTGTGACACTTTCTGTTGTCTTATGTATTTGTATCCTATCATGTTTGAAAAAGGATTTTTGGCTGCAGTGGCATGGCGCCATGGTTAGAATTCTTATTTACGAGTATGCTGGATTGAATATCAACATATTCTCGTTCCCAAGACCGTGGCCCCATAATTGCTCGACTTGTTTACATGACAGGCGTTGGATTCGAGGTGAAATACTGCAGATAAGTCGCATAACACCCGTTGACAATTCAAAGGTAAGTTTCGTTATTTACTAATCTTCCTTACTGTTAATTAACCTCGGTACTCGAATATTCCTTTCCAGTCCTGCATGTAACTGAACGACGCGGCGAGGCAGGCGTTTAAAGCCACCTCCCACGAATAATAAGTACAAATAGTCAATCTTAAACCGTCTCCTTTATATAGCAAACATATTCACATTAAAACATCAATATTCACAGGATAGACATGATACACAGAAACAAAACACTACTTCCTCGATCGTAACGTACTAAACAACTTACGTGCAATTCACTATGTTAACTCAAATTCATAGCGTTCACCTCGCCAGTGCATTATATACAAACTAAAAAAATATTCCGTGGCCTGTAGTCCGCAAGGGAACTGAGCGGCCGCCGCCTGTGGGCGAAGTTAGTGCCAACTTTAGCGGATAGAGGATGTGACGTGGTCAGCGTAACTGATCCCCACGGCCATTAACCTTGATTTTCTAGACCGCAGCCGCTATTTCCTTGAAACAGCTACTTAATTATCCTCAAGAGGCTGAGTGGACCCAGTTCCTGACCCACTCCTCACAAAATCTGGTAGAGCCGGGAATCGAACCCGGGACCTCTGGATCTGTAGCCAGGAACTCTGACCACTAGACCTTAGAGGCGGTCACAATGACAGGCAAACTCGTTTGAATTGTCCTTATGCTGTGTGTGATTTTCCTGTAATCTCATTACCAATATGAGCCTTGGGCTACTTCACAAATCCTCATCCATACACCTGATTGCTAGGCTGACGCTAAGTTATCGGTTCGCGCATTCATCTTTCCACTGTTCGGAACGCAGAATCCTCTGTTTTAGGGACATGCCATGGGGGGTTGTATACAGCGTTCAGTTCCAACAGTGGAATATCCGACAGACATCAACCGTAGGGTGGCTCTCATATGAACAGCACCAGAGTTCATTTCACTTCCTCGTGCTATAAGACCCTTCGTCCACAGCCGCAATACAAGTGCAACTCGGCTATAACTCAACCAAAATGAAATTAAACTAAATTCGAAAGCAATCTCGGCTTCGTCCACCAATGCAGCTCTTTTCCAACAGTTTAACTTCCAATGTCGAGTGGTCCAGGTGAAAGTGTTGTGCTGGCATATAGGTATATAAAAATGTTCACATAAAGAAACGCATATGCTGGACTCATCCTTACATAACTAAGAAGGCCGCGCCATAGCTCAAGCGGTTAATCGCTGGCTTCCCACCGCGGCGGCCCGAGTTCGTTCCCGGGTATGGTCAAGTGGGATTTGTGGTGGACAAAGTGGCGCTGGGGCGGGTTTTCTCCGAGTATTTCGGTTTCCCCTGTGAATCTTCATTCCACCAATTGCTTCACAATCACCATCACCTATCATCTGGGGCTGGTACAATAGGCCAGAAGTGGCGGCAGTACCAGGGACTTAGTCCCACCCCACCAGCAATAAAAAATAATATATATATATACAAACTCGCTCGAGCCTTTCTTTGCTGTCCGTGTCACGTCCATTGTCTCTTCAGTTGTGTCATATGCATGGCCCGTGCCTAGTACGTGTTGAGCATATTCTGACGTGTGTGGTATATTCGTTCTTATTCGATCCTTGCCCAACGTATCTTAAAGGACAGTCGTTACATTTTACCTGGTACATCTCGCATTTCTTGTATATGCCCGTTGTTTGTATCTTTGGTTTTAAATGGCTCCTTATGGTGTTTATTTTAAATGCTATCCCAAAATTAGTGTTCCTAAATGATTTTGTAACCATTCGTGTTTCGGGTCCATAATGTGTAAAGGTGGTACAAATTTTTTCTTGTTATGCTTCGTGGGTTTTGGGGGCTGGTATGTTGATTTAGTAGTGATACGTCCTCTGGCGGCCCATACCCGAAATGTTGATTTCCCCTAAACGGCTTGACTGATTCTGATTAAGCCGTAATCACCTAAAAATGGACTCAAATAACAGTCTGCAGACCGAAACACCTAAACATATGGACCACTTCAGGCCAGCAGGAGAGACTGATTCGTCTAGCACGTAGGAGAAATTATGTGCACTGGTAAGAAGTAAAGCTATCCCTGTAACAGGCCGTGGAGGCACATAGTGTTCTGAAACGTCGAGGTACCCACATGTTCTAGACAATCGGCTCACAGATGGCGGCAAATTTGTCAGCCTTAACCCCCCGACCGCCATTTACCCCCAGGAAGATTCCTAACACTCATTTATGTTAAATGCTGAGTCGACCCTGGGATGGCAGTTCGGCTGGAAGTATTAGATCAATTGAAAAATCCAGTGACTTCATCGGGAATCGAGCCCGCGACCTTCCGGCTTGTAGCATAGCGACTCAACCAACTACGCTACCGCGTGCCTCACCCCATTATGTGCATTAATCTTTTTGAAATACTGAACCCTAGTACATTTAGAAGTGAGTTCTGCTGCAAGATTCAGTGATACAGGAAATCACTTTACTCGCAGAGGTTTCGGCACTTCCCCGGGATGTGGCAGCTATCCTTATCAACATCCAAATACATATACATATACATATGTACGTCAGTAGCCTGTCCCCACCAACCGGTTCTTCTTGTCTACCGCACTTCCTAGTGCTATTGACCTCAAGTTTCCTGGATTCACTGGCCGTCCCCCCCCTCCCTTAGCACACAACACCATATATGGCCTTAATCGCTCTCCACTGCTCCTATTGGTCCGCTCTCCCTAACCCCCCCCTGCCTAATTCGTATATAAGCAGCGCCTTTCACTTCCTATCACTACAGCTACTGTTCTCTGCATTCCAAGCCATTCAACTGCTCTGAAGATGAAGGCGATACGTTCCTCCGAAACGTCGGCCAAAACGAAGAATACACGGCGCCAAAACCCAGAAGACCGCTTTTTTCATCCAAATACATAGTTGCTAATATTTCAAAGAAGCGACAGCACTCAAATTATGAAATTCTGGGTTTTCTCGTGTAATTAAGAAAACAACGAATGATATTTGAATCGTATTCAGAAACTCTCCCTCAATGTTTGCTTTAACAGCCGTACATACTGACAAGTTGATGTACAGTTGTCCCTGTGCTTTCTTTACTTCGGCACTGGATGGAGCTAAGTGGTCACCTTCACGCTCAAGCCATGTGACCCCCGGGGAAATCGACCCTTACACCCATTGGATAGGAGGTTGGGTGGATCTCAGAGCCGATATGGACTGTATGGAGAGGAAAGAGATCTTACCCATAGCGGGAGTCGAACTCCGCCCGTCCTTCCCGTAGCTCTTCGCTTTACCGACTGAGCTACCCAGACTTCTCGGATACTGACAAGATTTTAGAATAAGTTTTGTTATGTTTTGTGTGTTTTCTATTAGGCCCACGATTGGAAACGAGAAACAGACAAGAAAATGTAATCTCTACCACCAACGCAACGCCTTCGGTTCGAGTCATTTGAGGTTTGTAACGGACAAAGTGGCACTAATGCAGGTTTTCTCCGAGTACGTCGGTTTCCCCTGCACAATTTTCATTCCGTCATCTGCTCGACATTCATTAACCAAGTTACTGTCCGACGCTACGCAGTCACGTTACTGACAGAATCGTCAGATAACCAACTTACAACTAAATGGAACACTACATGAGATTGTAGTTGCACAGTCAGCGCTCACGTTTCGCATGCTGGCGTGTCCTGGCCCGGACACAGACTGTCCGCTGTGTGGCGTCCGTACTTGCACTTTCCGTCAGTCCATTCATGCAAATCCGTTTTTGGCGCTTTAAATTAAGCCATGACCGCGTTCTTCCACGTCTTTCTCAATCGTCCAAACTTTCGGCGCCATATGGTCAGAGCAACCGACAGCGTCGCTAAATAAGAATGATACTTCAAAAACATTTAGTCTCCAATTTCTAATATTTTCTGATCCGTTTCTTTTTTATTATTATTATTATAGCCATGCCTTGTTTTATTGTGCTTCGCAGATTTTGTGTTCTTTACAAATTGCAGGTTTGTGGCAACCCTGCGTCGAGCAAGTCCATCGAGTGTCATTTCCCCAAAAGCATGTGCTCACTTCGTGTCTGTGTCACATTTTTGTAATTCTCACAATTTCAAACTTTTTCATTATTCTGCAAGCCTGAAGGTCGCGGGTTCAAGTCCCGATGAGGTAATTGCATTATTTTCAGTTTAACTAATCCTTCCAGCCACACTATGGTCCTGGGGTCGACTCAGCCTCTAACAGAAATGAGTACCAGAAATATTCTGGGGAGTAAAGCGCGGCCGGCGCGTAAAGCTGACAACCTTACCGCCATCTTGGAGCCGACTGTCTACAAAATGTGGGACCCTCAACGTATCACAACCCTATGGGCCTTCACGGCCTGTTACAGGGATAACTTTACTTTACTTACTATTGTATTTGTTATGGTGATCTGCGATCAGTGATCTTTGATATTACTATTGTAACTGTTTTATGGCGCCACGAACAGCGCCCATATAAGACGAAGAACTTAATCGATAAATATTGTGGGCGTTCTGACTGCTCCACCGACCGGCCGTTGCCCCCTCTGTCTCGGTCCTGCTTCTTTGGCCTCCCTATTCCCTGAGATGCAATAATATTAAAAATTAGGCCAATTAATAGCCCTACAATGGCCACCACCCTAATCAGTCAGCAGCCATCAACATCGAGGCAAGACACTCCATCAGCAAAAAGATTACGACTCTGTGAAAGCTCAGATGATGGTTAACATTTTTTAGCAATAAATTATTCTTAATTAAGGTATGCACATTATTTTTAGACATAATGCTATTGCACACTTAATAGACTACAGTATGGTGTAAAAATAACTTTCATATGCACTGGGGAACCAAAAAATTCGTGTGATCTGGAACCGAACCTGCAATATCTTCGAAGTATTTAATTACACAATTGACCGTGACGCATTTAAAAGTAGCCCTGCTGTCCCAAAATTTGCGTGAAATAAAACCAACAATTTACAGCACTATACATATGTGTGTGTATGTGTGTGTGTGTGTGTGTGTGTGTGTGTGTGTGTGTTCGGTATGGTTCTCACAATAAATAGAGACTCTTTCCCCAAACAACATTTACCGGTTGGGCTTTGTAGCGGAGACGTACGTGTTTCCTGTGAGGTACGAACTGAATTTTTAAGCCTTATTTAAATTCAACTGAGCGACTGGTGGCTTCTCAAGGACTCGGCCCCATAGTTAGAGTCGTTTAACTAATCAAAAAGAAACCCGAAATGTAGAACTTGATACCGAACCGTCTGCGAATCTGAAACACACCCTTATTTACAAAACTAACTCAAAACGAGTCAATAATATTGTGGCGCGCCGCGAGAAAGCCGGAATGTGTTATGAGATCAGGGTTGATTTCCTAGGCAACGACCAGCGTTCCCGCTACAAAGCCTAGGAATCGGAACGCATCCATTGCTATACAACGGCTAGCAATATCCAAGCAACGAGTTGCCTGAAGCAGCTTTTGCATAGCAGAGGGCGAAGTTAATCCTTCAACAAGGTATTCCCTACTGAGTCCGAGTGCACGTTATAAGAGTCAAACGTCGGCCAGAGACAAGTTCAGTTTGTATTTGACCCTAGAAGAGTAAAGCTGTTATTTGGGAAGAGAACAGAAGAGTTCTCATCCGACTAGAGAAGAAGAGTTCTCATCCGACTAGAGAAGAAGAGTTCTTATCCGACTAGAGCAGGAGAGTTCTCATCCGACTAGAGCAGGAGAGTTCTCATCCGACTAGAGCAGAAGAGTTCTTATCCGACTAGAGCAGAAGAGTTCTTATCCGACTAGAACAGAAGAGTTCTCATCCGACTAAAGCAGAAGAGTTGTCATCCGACTAGAACAGAAGACACTTCACCGAGAATAGCGGTGCGAGAGAGCTGTAACATTGAAAAGGAAAAGTCTGACGATATTATAAGTTGAGAATAACTGTAAGTGTGAGTGTAGAAACGACTGTCCAATAAAGTTATTCGTTCAAATCCTTAAACCCACACAATTTCTTGTCGCGTTGCCTAGCAAACATGCAACAATATTATATAAATTTTTAATTTTAAAACTGGGAGCTCTAAAGAACCAGAGTTTGCAAAACAGTGTTATGAAATGAGGAAAACTTACAGAGGGAAAGAGAAGTGTTCCCATTGTGTTCCCGCAGATGTTCTGAATGTGAGGAGAACAAATAGAGACTATACATTTGCAACTGTTTGAACAAGTGTTATGAGAATGCAAGTCAAGTGCAGTGCATGATATCAGACTTACCAGTTCGTGTGTGTCAGTGGGGAATTAGACTGTAACATTATTACACATTCTGCCTACCCAATTCTTACGCAAGAAATTAGAAGTACATTTCCAGTGCACGGCAATTTCCAGAAGAAAAAGATATGAGTTTAAAATAAGGAGGTATGCACAGAACCTTACTAATTTTATGCGCTCATTTCTATCCGATTTTAAACAAATATTTCCAAGTATCCATTTGACCACTTTAAGCTTGTACAGTTCATGGTTTTCGTGTAAGCTAAATCTGTGTGCCAATATGGCAACACAGTGGCCCGCTGTACCACAGTACTCGGTTTTTGCAGGTAGAACAGTAAACTCTCGCTAATCCCTTTACAGTTAATTCAGATGTCGGAAGTCTGGATCGAAATATGAAAAAAGAAAAATTCTCAGCACAGTTGAGTAAAAAAAAAAGTAAAAAAAAAAAGTAAAGCTATCCCTGTAACAGGCCGTGAAGGCCCATAGGGTTTTGAGACGTTGAGGGTCCAACATTGTCTAGATAATCGGATCAAAGATGGCGGTAATGTTGTCGGCCTTACGCGCCGGCCGCGCTTTACTTCCCACGAAAATTATTTAATTAATTCCTGGTACTCATTTCTGTTAGAGACTGAGTCGACCCTAGGGCCATAGTGCCTCAACCAACTACGCTATCGCGTGCCCAGTGCACAGTTGAGTACATACTATAAAAGAAATAGGGATTTAGGAGCAAGAGGACTTTCAGACTCTGTTCAGGGCAGCCGGAAAGACTGAAAACACGCAAGAAAATATCCAAAACTGGCTTGAGCTCCGTGAAGGTCACTATGGATTTCAGCTTTGACAGAGGAAGGAATTACTGCACTGATTTTGTTTATTCTCTTCAGCACTACTATCTACATGATTAAATTGTCCGTTTAAGTGATATTTGTTTCAAGTTCTTTCTTGCCTTTCAGAGTTATCTTTTGCTTCGTCTATCAGTACCGTCGCTTAATCAAGACGATCCCCCCCACCCCAGTAATACTGAGTAGGAAGATTTTTTTTTTCTTGGCACTACAGCCCCAGTGGGCCTAGGCCTACCTCCATGAACTTCTCCGTTCACATCGGTTTTTCTAGATCTTACACATTCAGTAGGACTCCTTGGGCGGGTGATCAGCTCGTCACAAGGCCTCTACCTGTACACAAACACAGAAAAACGCACACACAAACATCCATGCCCTGAGTAGGATTCGAACCCACGATCCCGGCTTCCGAGCGAGCGAAGACAGAGCATGCCTCAGACCGCTCGGCTACCGTGACCGACTAGGAATGATTTACTGTAACTAATTCCACCAACAGCGATCTCCTATCGTCAGGTATAATTTTCATGAAAAACGATTGTATAGAAAACTTCTTGAAACTTGTTGTTTAGGCATTGAATCTTACGACTGGTTTACAGGGACTCGACAGGGAGTCCCCACTGCTACGTGCGAACCATTCCCTCCACTTTTCGCTTCAGGTTACGAAGCTAAAGATATGATAAAGAGACTCGTTCCTGCTCAGTGACAAACAACATTCACGTGAGTGTGGCACACACGTCAGTACCTCTCGTTCTAGAAATCGTTATCAGGTCACAGACTTCTGTTGCTTCACCTGAAAGGAGCTAAAGCCATAACCCAGCATATCTTTGTTCTATTTTTCCTATTTGCGTTGCTGTGTTTGATCAATTGGTAGGAAGAAAATAATGCTTATAAGAGAGTGCAAACACGAAAGTATTATAAATGATTAGCAGACGTAAACACCCTGTCACAGTGACATACAACTCCAGCACTTCGCGCCGAAGAGTCCTTCAGAAATGTTACTTCAGTCAGTACTCACTCTTTCCGTGCTGGTAAGATCCTTCTTTGTTTTCGCATTACGAAAATCACGAATCCGTACAAAACGTAGATTATAAAACCTAAGGGCAGATGTGAATGTAACATTAAAATGGATCTAAAAGAAACAGGATGGATGTGTGCAGACTGAGTTGGTCTGGCTTGTGACGGAGCCTAACCGCGGACACTTTTGAAGCCGGTGGTTAACTTTCGTACGATCACAGTGGCCGCGAGGTCTAAGGCATGAATTGTCTTCGATCACTCGAAATCTGGGATCGTGGGATCGAATCTCACTCGAGGTATTGATGTCCGTCTGCATTTATTCTGTGTTTATTTGTCCTGTGTGCAGGTAGAGATCTTGTGACTGGCTGATCACCCGTCAGAGGAGTCCTACCGGCTGTGATGAGAATTAAGAAACTGAAAAGTTGCCAAGGCCCAACAAAGGGCTGTAGGGCCATAGATAAATAGATAGTCAACATTCGAGATATTTCTTCAGCACGTCACGTGCTATTAGCTCTGCTCCGTAAAATTAGTAGGAGTCGGAGGTCAGTCGGTATAGAGGCAGGCTGAGGGCTCGAGGGCCCAGGTTCGATTCCAGGCAGTGCAAGATCTCTTCTCGTGTGTCTAGACTGACTCTGGGGTTCTACCAGCCTCCTAGCCAATGGGAACCGCAGACTCTTTCCCCGGGAGTAAAGCTGTAAGAACGTGAATGTGACACACAACTCCATCTAGTGCCGTGGTCAAGAAAGGCGGAGATACTTATACCTCCACTCCCACATATGTCTTCATGGCATAGTGATTAACTATTTAAGCACAGGGACCGTAGAATTAGTTAAGCAAGGTGGAGACTGCAGCAGTCAGTCACCTTGTCACGGTGAGTCAGGCGTGGGCTGACAGCCATGGAGGCCTGAGCCTCTTATCAGCTGACACAATACTCTGCAGGCTGTAGAGAGAGAAAGAGAAGAGAAAGAAAGTGAAAAGGTAGTGAGAGTGGGGGGACAAGAAACTGTATCTCCAGTTCTGAAGGTTCCCAGGCAGTGCTCGCTCGTCCTTCTGGTAGAGGGACTATACATGATCAGGATTATTTTTATATGACGTTGGAAGGAATGTATTATAGTGAAATTCTGATGTTACCATTGGGAGGGCTGCATTTGAAATATGGAGCGCAAAGTGGAATTTGGGTACGAACTCAGAATTTGCACTAGGACCGAGAAAATGCACGGAAAATCTTGATCGATTTGGCCGGCCGCAGAACCTTCCGGATGCAAACTGAATTCTAGCCAGCAATCCGACATTAAATGAGGGACACGCTGTAGCGTAGTTGGTTGAGGGGCTATGCTACAAGTCGGAAGGTCGCGGGTTCAAGTCCCGATGAGGTAATTGGATTTTTCTCAATTGACCTAATCCTTCCAGCCGCACTATGGCCCTTGGGTTCACTCAGTCTCTAACAGAAACGAGTACTTACTTACTTACTTATGGAGCTGAGCCCTTCTGAAGGAGCTGCAAATTCTGCAGCTACTCAAGAATTTCCCAGCATTTTATGGAACCCGAAGGTTCATTACCGTGTTCACAAGAGCCCTTAACTGGTCCCTATCCTGAGCCAGATCAATCCAATCAATACCATCCCATCAACTAAAATTATTAGTACCAGGAATTAATTATATAATTTCCTTGCGGAGTAAAGCGCGGCCGGTGCGTAAGGCTGACAACCTTACCGCCATCTTTGAGCCGATTGTCTAGACAATGTGGGACCCTCAACGTCTCACAATCCTATGGGCCTTCACGGCCTGGTACAGGGATAGCTTTACTTTATTTTTACTTATTTAGTTCGACATTAAATATGCGAAACCAAACATTAGTCCCTATTTGGCTGTTGCTTTATTTGGAGTCTGTAGCCTTTTTCATGATACATATAAAACTTCAGTTCCTACCTCACTGGGACTTAGTGTGTCTCCAACGCAAAGATCAGTACTTACGTATTAGTGGATGACCCAAGAAACTTCAAAATTTATCCATGCGTTATTTAACGAACAGTGCCTATAATGCATGGCTATAGTTGCTGGGCCTCTTGTGTGTGTAATTTTTTTACTGTCTTTAATGTTCGTCTTAACTCTCACAGATGGTTTATGCTGTGTTTGGTGTATATCCTGTCTTACGTTTGTGCTGGTGTCCGAAGATAGGGACTAGCTCTATCGGTACGACCAAACTGAGCAAGTTACACCCGAAAACTGAGATATAATGTAGTTTCCGAAACGTTGTGTGTTTTGAATAAAAAACACGACGATGGATAATGCCCAACAACACAATAATTGCGGTAACATACCATCGTCATAAACTTTTAGATCGTACCCAAAATCTAATTTGCCTGCAATAACAATGGCACCAAATTAAAATTTTAGTTTTGTTTTTAAAAAATAGATTATAAAAATCCTTCTATAGAATTTGCATTTTGTCCTTACAAATAAACTTCTGCGGTTGGCAGCGCTGATGTGGCTTGTATCATCCGTCTATATATATATATATACGTATATATATACGTACAAATATTTTCTTTGCATATTGCCTATACCATAAAGCTGCCAGATCTAACTTCACAGATACTCATCATCACCATGTTTGCAGCTCCCAAGAGACGAAAACAAATTCTGTATACCTACTCTGTAGGCATGTTTATGGTGTAAAAAAAGGTGTATGCCTTCCTCTTATGGTCCATTAGTTACCACCATCAAAAGTGGCCTCCGTATTCTAGAGGTAACGTTCCCACCTCGTGACTCGTGGTATGCGGGTTCAAATACCCGGGCGGAGGTCGTCGAAATTTTAAGGGCGGAAAAATTCAGGGAACAAGTCCTCCGGGAGGGACTTTAAGCTGTGTGTCCCGTGTCGTAACTTTACGGCACGTAAAATAACCTCATATCCCCAAAGGGGATCACTGAGCCAAATTCCAGGACGTTTCCCGCCCAACAGCAGTCTCTAAGGCGTCTGATAGATGGGGGAAGCATTACAGACACCGCTAAGCAAGTGGCCGAACTCGCTTGCTCGGCGGAACTGATGGTACGCACCATTTATCGGTAGGGTAAAGAGACTGGTAGAATATCATAGAGGGAAGCACAATAGATCAAACTGGTCGCGGTGCATGGGGAAACCCACCCTCTCTAAATAACTAACTAACTACCACCATCAAATTGGGTGCTAAAGATTCATGTCCTTTATCACAGAAATTCCTTTAAGACAAAATGAAGAAATTATCGGAGCATCGGAAGGGTCCCAGTCATTACAGGACAAAGTAAAACAGTGGGCCACAAGCGAGACCCTTCTTCCTCTGGCACGAGCACTACTCTGCATGCTAATCGAAACAACATGTAGACCAGGCATCCCCGAGACATTTATAACTAACAATATCTTTGAGAGATTCATGATTTAATCCAACGTAATGCTCTGTGCCCAGTAAACAATTCCTACCCTACGCTACTCTACGAGATCAGGAACTGACGGATAATGGATTTGGAATAAAGAGTTCGTTACTTAATTTAAAGGTACTATACCGGCAAATGCCTGGAGAGATTAACGAAAACCGCGAAAAGTTTCAGTCAGGATCGAGATTCGAATCGAGTATCTCTCAAGCAGAAGTAAAAAGCATTACTGCTTCAGCCATATTGGCCACACTCAAAGTAAATAATTTGCTTAAAAATTCGTTAAGCCTGCTCATTGTTGATAGTGGATTCTTATTTCATTTTCAGGTGCAACTATCAAGTTTGGGATCAGTTCTTGAAAGGTAATTTTTAACATATTTAATTAATTTTATTATTCATACACTACTGTATATACTACGTACAGTATTGTATTGTATTGTATTGTATTGTATTTATACAATGGGCCAAAACATGTAATAGAACCCCAAATATTCACTTAATTCACTCATTTCTTTCTATTTTAACATGAGGCATAAACAGATCATATATCTACTCAAGATTAATTTCAGGTGTGGAGGCGGGGTCGAATACCTCCACCGTGACCCTGCAAGTCGTAGAAGGCGACGAAAAGGGAAGTCTCAAATCTGAGACAGTAAAATACGATCGCGAGTCCCAAGGGACTCGGACCCGAGAAAGACTGCGCTGGCAAGGGCCAGCAGCAATTGTAAACGACAGATCCGTCCTCTCGTCAGAGAAAGGGGCCCAAATCAACAAGCCCGCAACTGTCTGACAGTAATAAAAATCTGGTCGTAAGCCCCAGATAAGCTCTTCATTTCAAGACAGACTGGCCGACGGATCGTCAGTCGTTAAGATAAGACTCGACTGGACTCGACAAAATCTAACTGTAAAAAAAATATATTCATTCTAACTTGACATTTTAATAATGATGTACCTCATATATTCAGGAATCTCTGTTATGACAATTTTAATAGTATCGTCTTATTCACTCACAAGTGCCCAAATGTTATCTTCCCCTGGGACTTTCCGACTAGTACGTTATATGCATTGCCTTCCTCTCCTTGCGTTAATAATCTCTGAAGAGATATGTTTTGCGTAATGACTGATTTCGCAAGCACAAATACAGTCAATCTGAACATGGGGTGTCCACAGTGGCTGCAGGGGCCCCGGCGTGTTTCCGCATCCGGAAGACTGCACGCAGTTCCTAATCTGCGCAGAGAGTCATGGGGACGTTTTTGTAGCAGAAACAGTTCCTTGCCCAACACACTACGGCTTCTCGGCGTCTGAGGGAACATGCGTCCCCAGCAAACAGGTAACGTATCAACTTGCTCTGCAAGCGGCCTCCATAGTCTAGGGGTAACGTTCCCACCTCATGACTCAAGGTACGCGGGTTCAAACCCGGCGGAGGTCGTGGAATTTTTAAGGGCGGAAAAATTCAGGGAACAAGTCCTCCGGGTCCCGTGTCGTAAATTTACGGCACGTAAAAGATCCTCATGTCTCTAGGAGACCTCTGAGCGAAATTAGGCAACAATTTCCAGCCCAAGTAGTTTCCAACGCCTCTGGTAGACGGGGGAAAATATCAGGTACCGACGGCCGACCTCGTTGGCTGAACGGTGCTGATAGCACGCACCAGTACCGGTAGGGTATGGGGACAGTAGAAATAAAAGGGGGACGCAGAATGGACCAATAACTGGTCTAAGTGCATGGGGAAACCCACCCCCTCTAATAATAATAATAACTTGCTCTCCATCTTCAGCAAAATACGCTTAACGCGCCCAGCGTCCTTCGTCAGAAAACTCTTAGCAAACTACACCCGTCCTTCTCGTCTGTTCCTAAATTACGTTACACTGTCTAGTTATTGAGTGTCATTAAATAACTTAAAAAACATTTATGATTCAGATACAGATATTCATGTTACAGTCACTAACTGCTGTCAGTGGGGGCACGCGGTAGCGTAGTTCGTTGAGGCACTATGCTACAAAGCTGGAACATCGCCGGTTCGATTCCCGATGAAGTCATTGTGTTTTTCAGTTGACCTAATCTTTCCAGCAACGCTATTGCCCTGGGGTCGACTCAGCCTCAAATAGAAATGAGTACCAGGAATCTTTCTGGGTGTAAAGACCGCCATCTGTGGGCCGACTCTCTAGAAAATGTGGGAGCCTCGACGTCTCACAACCCTATGGGCCTCCACGGCCTGTTACAGGGATAGCTTTACCTTTAACTGCAGTTAGTAGCTCACACCACGTACCATCCAATGGCCTAATTTGAGGTGGCCTGAAAGTGAGACGACTTCTACTAGCCCCAAGGACTCAGTCCATTACTCGGTCCCATTGTGCGCCCGTTTTCATTAGGATACTTTAGCACAGCCTTCTCCTCTGTGCCTGAACCTGAACCTGTTTGATACTGGCCCTTTATATATCTAGGGGCACCAGCCATACACAGCCGAAGATCTTCATTCTATGCCCAGCCAAAACTGGGCACTGACGGAATTCCTCCTCCTCCTGTCCAAAACTCTTGCATGCAGCGTTATCCGAGACGCGCAGAGCATGTAGGAGCCGTCTCAACGTACCAGGGAGATTCAGTAAAGATGTCACAAGTGGATATAAAACGTAAAATGATAAATTTGATTTGATTTGATGATATTCAAACCTGAGAAAAGCATTTATTTCTCGACATACCCTCCACCAACATTGATACATTTGCCCATCGCGTTACCAGTGCGTCGAAACCCGCAGGACAGTAGTCTCTTGACTGTTGTCTCAGCCAATCCCGCACCTCCTTTTCAACATTTTCGTCATCAGAGAAACACTTGCCAGCCAGTCGTGAACCGCTCTACACGACAAACACTTCGCACCGTAAACAGGAAACATTCTGTTATTAGTATCCCTCGCATTGAGTCCCTTTGACCACATGAAACGCACAACAGAACGTTGCCCTTCGGTAGTACACTCCTCAAACATGTCATCATTTTGACTGCTAAAACCAGCCTCTGAACATACGCATGAGCGTCTCCTACATATACCGTCATGAAGCTGGACTGTGCTGCTACCTAGTGACAACGTACAACACCTAATACGTCCATTAGAGCTGTTTTACTTCCATTTTTTGATCAATTTACTGACTCTCACTAGTACACTGGCCAGCTAATAACCCTGTTGCGTGCCTCCGCTGTTATCCGACCAATGCCAGTAGTTTTCCAGACAAATTTTCCGAAGGCCCTTTAGTGACGAGCTTCAGCTCTTTCATACCTGGTGTGGCAGCTCAGTATTCTGAGGGTTTCCTGTTCAGCTACTTTTTAACCTGAGCCTCCCAGCGCATGGTGGGACAGGATTTCCTGGTTCGGTACCGAGAAACAGATTTCTCGATTCCTTCTAAGACGAGTTGTCTGCATCCTTCCTACCGTGAATCCCACTGTGGACAGGGACACAGGAGAGGGTTACCTTACTGTCCCGCTGAAGGGAGCGAGAAAACTTCCAAGTTAGGATATATCCCTTCTCCAGGCAGAGATGGAACTCGGGGCCTCTTGAATACGATAGTACAGTCAATAAGCTATATACAAATTTAAGTTCGGTCCAACAAAGTCTAGTTCTTCGGAACCCTAAAATATACGAGTTTAATGTTGAGTATCCTCAACAGCTCCAGATAAGTCAGTTACTTTGGAAGTACTGAACGCCATCTCAGACAGACTGCACACACACTACATTCACGATTACTATAGAGTGGATATAAACAGGATTAAAGTACGGCATACAATAGGGAAGCCCAGTTCACCCTTAGTGGACACATGTAACACACCATTTAACGCAAATAACCACTGTCAGAACGACACTAAAACACTAAAACTGTATTGCTGTACACCGTAGAGCTCGATGCGAGGGACAGTACAGCAACACAAGGCGCTTCAAACTGGCGAAAGTCGCAACACTGCTTTCAGTATGAATGATACTGGATTGTAACGGCGTGAAGATGGAGGCGTTCCGAAACATCGATGAACATCCACCAAACGACGCGGCATCATGTCCCAGAAGGCAGACGTATGCAATACTGTTCTGCAGTACTCCGAAGACATCCAAGAGAAATGCGGACGGACAAGCACGACCTCCCTAACACCTGTGTATGTGCACAGTGCAGGACATCACGCCCGGCAGCCGGGAGCAGGGAGATCCGCGCCGCTGGACAGGGCGCCTGCACAAAGTCGGGCCCATACTGTGACGGCTGCGACCGGCTGGTAGTATGCGCCAACTTGGGGGAACGTGGTCTGACGACCCTCACCAACATCAGCTGCTCGGACATAGACCCCGACATGAGCTGCAGCAAAGCCTCCTGCACCACGCAGCCAACGACGGACCAGCCCTGCGCAGGCGCAGACAAGGCAGGCGCGTTCCACTGCCTACAGCCCGGGTACTTCCCAGATCCTACGGACTGCAAGCAGTTCCACATTTGCAACAGTGACCTCAGTCACTACAAGGGTAAGTAGCCCCTACATTCAGTAGGGTGACTATAGTCTTCTTAAAACGTTTAAGTTAGTTGGTTATTGGAGAGGGTGGGTTTCCCCATGCACTTAGACCAGTATTGGTCCATTGTGCTTCCCTTTATGATATTCTACCAGTCTCTATATCCTACCGATAATGGTGCGTACCATTAGTCCCGACCGAGCCAGCGAGTTCTCAACTGGCTTGGCGGTATCTATAATGCTTCCCCCATCTATCAGAGGCCTTAGAGACTGCTGTTGGGCGGGAAACGTCCTTGAATTTGGCTCAGTGACCTCCTTTGGAGATATGAGGTTCTTTTACGTGCCGTAAAGCTACGACACGGGACCCACGGCTTAAAGTCCCTCCCGGAGGACTTGTTCCCTGAATTTTTCCGCCCTTAAAAATTCGACGACCTCCGCCGGGTATTTGAACCCGCGTACCACGAGTCATGAGGTGGGAACGTTACCTCTAGACTACGGAGGCCGCTTAAAACGTTTAACGATACTCTCTCAACTACATGAGTTATATATAAAGAGGAAATGAGGGTCTCGTGGCGGTGACTCCGGGATGTGACGTCATGTTTGGTTATTTAATGACGCTCTCAGTATCCAGGCTATATAGCGTCGCATGGTAAGATGACCGACGGAAGGGATTTGAAATGATACGGCCGTGGCCCTATCGACGTATTATCTCGGCATTTGCCTGGAGGGACTGGGGAAGACCACAAAAGATCTCAATCAAAATAGCCGGTGTCTCGGCAGATAATAGAATCGAGTACCTCCTGCCTACAAGCCTAGAGCATCACCTGCAAGCAGTCTGTTCGGTGACGCCGTGCAAACTTGCCGGTCACTACTGTAAAATTGCTAAGAATGGATTGAGCAGGCTGCAGAACGAAACGGACATTGAGAGATGAAGGTTTGGTTGGGAAGGCTGGGGCTTGCGATTGGAATGGATCAAACAAGCGTGGCTAAAGTAATCCAGAAGGCATAAGAGATGTGGGGAGGTCCAGACTGAGTTGGAGAGAAAATATAGAGAATGATTTCTAGGGGCTGAAATTGAAGAGGTGGAGGCAAAATGTATTATTTTTTTATTGCTAGTGGGTTGGGACTAAGTCCCTCGTACTGCGGCCACTTCTGGCCTATTGTACCAGCCCCAGATGATAGGTGAGGGTGATTGTGGAGCAATTGGTGGAATGAAGATTGGCAGGGGAAACCGAAGTACTAGGAGAAAACCTGCCCTAGCGCCACTTTGTCCACCACAAATCCCACTTCACCAGACCAGGGATCTAACCCGGGCCGCTGCGGTGGGAAGCCAGCGACTAACCGCTTGAGCTATGGCGCTGAGGTAAAAGTTAAATAATGAATAATGGGTATTTGTTGCGAAGCAGGCCAAAGTTCTTACAGAAGCTAATGCCAAGGTATGAGTAATATGGGCAATGATGTATTTCACGCGGGTAGTCGCGCTGTGGTTTCCTCTGCCATTTCTCATCCCACCGACTGCTCCACACTCATCCAACACCACGGCCGAATTAAGTAATCCTGAAAGCAAAACTAGCATGGAGGGAGCTGAATTGAGATCACTATTTATCAAGCCACACCCCTCTCCTTTAAGTTCTTATTAATTTAATTCCGAAATTTTCAGGGGACTGTGATGAAAAATTCGACGCCACTCTAGGAACATGCACGACCTTCGATCCAGACGACAAAACCGCCCAGACGGTCACCAATACAGCTTCAGGAAGTGAGACTGCACCCAACACACCCTCCACGCAATCCTGCGAGACCCTCAAAAACCCATGCACGGGAACGAATACGATGCCTGTGAAATTACCGAGCAACCCTTCATATTACGTGATCTGCATCCCAGTGGCCACAAAGAACCGGAAGGAACCCTACATCTACCAGATATCTGTCGCAAAGTGCCCAGAAGGCCTAGTTTTTAACGACGAGACGGTTTCTTGCGAACTGTCGTGTTCCAGAAAGCGCGGCAGATTCCAGGACCCCGATAATTGCCACTCCTACATCGAGTGTTCAGCCAGTGGTGCAAAAAAGACGTCCTGCTTGGATAATTTGGCGTTCGACCCGATCAGGAAGTCCTGTGTACCAGAGTCGTTGGTGCCGGGATGCCAGAGGACAAGGGCCATAGAGGAAAGTACCACGACACTCCAGGCTACCACGACACCCCAAGCCACCTTAACGTCTACATCCACCACTGCGAAGCCCATTCCAAGCGAGGAATTCCGGTGCCAAGCCACTGGCGCCTTTCCTGATGAATCAGACTGCAGGAGGTTCATCACCTGTTCGCTTGTATCTCGCAGCGACGGAGTTTATTTCCGCATGCGCAGAAAGCAATGTCCCTTCTTCACTTACTTCAATCCGAGAGGGTTCTGTCAGTTAGGGTTCTGCTGGAACTAGCCGCAACAGGTAAAAAGCAGGCTCCAGACAAAATTTAACTACAGAGAACTGCCAAGACTAACTGTGGAACGCACACAATTCTGTGGCGAACTTAGATTTACCTTATTTTAATTTCACCTAAACTCCTAGTTTTACATTTATTTTATATATGTAATATATAAGAAAAAATAAAGATTAAAACATGTAAAACTATGTTGCCTATTGCTGTTTAGGGCAAAGAGACTTCATTTCCAACATTAAGGGAAGAATATAAACTGAGGGCGTTTAAGGGAAGGCAGGAACTGACATGGGACTGGAGAACATTGTTACTTAATGAGAAGTCTTTAAATGTGTTCTCCTTGCCAGATGAACACATCAAGGAATATGAGGTGTACGAAATGCAAGCTACATACAGCATGAACTGGATAGATGAGAAATGCATACAAAGTTATGGTAAAAGAACCTGAAGGAAAGAGTGTGCTTGGAAGACTTGGATGTACCTGTATATGGGAGGATAATAATACAACGCAACTTACAGAAATGGAATGGGAAGGTAAGGTAAAGCTGTCCCTGTAACAGGCCGTGGAGACCCATACGGTTTGTCAGACTTACGCTCGGGCTGCCATTAACCCCAGGAAGATTCGGGGTACTCATTTCTGTTAGAAGCTGAGTAGCCCCCAGGGCCACAGTTGCGGTTGGAAGGATTAGGTCAATTGAAAAATCTAATGACCTTATCGGGAATCGAACCGGCGATCTTCTGGCTTGTAGCATAGTGCCTCAATCAACTACGCTACAGCGCAGGAAGGTACGAACTGGATGGACTGACTTACGCAGGGACAAATAGTGGGTTGTTGTGATCATGGTAATGAAACTTCGTGTTATCCAAAATGCTGGGAAATTCCGCAGTCCTGATAATTTCACTGCACGCTGACGGAGCACTTGATACAAGGTAGAGGGCCAAAGTATGTTAAGGAGAACTGAATGAATCAAGACATTAAACAAGAACTTCTGAGCTGTGACTATGTACAGTGAGGCAGAGAGTTACAAACCCTTCGGAAGAACGTGACGCCTCCAAATTTGGGTTGTAATAAAGAGAAATTGAGGCAGCAGTTTCTATACCGAACTGCATGGTTGCGTCATATCCGAGACGCAAACCACCTTTACGCTCCACGCCGCTAGAGGTTATCGCAGCGGTAACTCAACTTGTATTCGGTAGGTACTGAGCTCAAATCCCGGCCGGGACACCTGCTGCCGTGAGTTAGGTTTCCCTTTTTTTCCCCTCAGTCCCTCCAGGCGAGTGCTGGGATAGTACTTCAATTACGCCACGACCGTTTTCTTCCAAATCCTTTTCACCAGTCATTCCATCCGATGTTATATAGTCTAGATACTGAAAAAAGTCGTTAAATAACCTATGGAAAAAAATTAAATTGTCACAGACTGTCAATTTGTCACACCCAAACGTCAATTTGCAATCGAACAAATAACAACACAAACATAAGCGATAATATTGTAGCGTGAATGGCGGGGCTTTGTTAGGTAACGGAACGGTAAACACATGCGATACACCCTCGCAACAATGGAACAACGAGGTTACGCAAACCGTTTCTAGGCAACGGCTCAGTAAACAGATTTCCGCGCAGGCTCAATGATGTCACACTGCAATAGTACTATCACGTGACTGTTTTCTGTGTTGTCCGTGCGGCGCTTATATAATGAACATCTGTTTAAGGCCAAGGCGACGGCGGTCAGGCATACGACCGTTCAAGTGACTGGACTACCGTGGTTGCGAATACTACTAGAAATAGGGCATAATCTGCTGTACTGAGCCTGGATTTACAGAGGCCTTGTATATATTGTACGTAGAAATATCAATTAAGATTAAATTTGTAAATATATGTAAATACTGACAATGGACTTACTAATACGGACTATGACTGACAAATGACAGACTCGATCTCTCGTCAGAGAGGGCACCCCAAATGGACAGGACAGTAACTTTCATGTAAGGAAAAAAACAAAAAGAAAAAATCTGGTCATGAGCCCCAGCCGGGGCTCGACACCAAGACAGACAGACTGACTGACCGTCAGTCGCAATGTGACTTGGACTTGGCTAAGACGAATTGATTGGCAGTAAACCGCCAGTCGTAAAGTAACTTTGACTTTTGTTAAGTCAGTTCACCCGTGTGGAGGCGGGGTCGAATACCTCCACCATGACCCTGCGAGTCGTAGGAGGCGAAGAAAAGGGAAGTCTCAAATCTGAGACAGTAAAATGTGGTCGCGAGTCCCAAGGGACTCGGACCCGAGAAAGACTGAGCTGACAAGGACCAGCAACATATACAAAATACAGACCTGTCCTCTCTTCAGAGAGGGGGCCCCAGATAAACAAGACCGTAACTGTCAAACAGTAATAAAAATCTAGTCATGAGCCCCACATGAGGCTCGACACCAAGGCTTACTGACTGTCTGACCGTCAGTCACAATGTGACTTTGACTTTGACTTTGGTTAAGTCAAGTTGTGTGAAAAGTTCAGGAGAGCTCAAGACAACTGAGAGACTACTGTAGAATGCTTACAAGAGAAGTGAATAGAAAAACTGACGTGTGTGCTACAATTAGAGCAATCTTGAGAGTGTAAGAACTAATTGTAGTTACAACTAGTGAATATCCTATAAACCGATTCACCAATCCAAACCCGAGTCTTAGTCACTAATACATGTGACAATACTGACGATGTATTCAATGTATTTGAATCATACTTCTGCAAACAAATCTCTGTGCAACACGTACTCAATCTGTCTGCAACGTCTATTTGTGTAAACTAATAACGGGCTAGATTTCCAATTAATTCTCTGTTTGCGTACGCAAATACATTCTGTATAAACATATCTTATGCAGTGATTTGTTCAGAACCGATAATTATGTCACGAATTTAGCAGCAATAATAAATCTCCGCGTAAATAAAATATTGACAGAAGCTTAAGATCTATCCGAGGCGTATTGCACGGCCTAACATAAACAGGAATGAAAACAGTTCATGAGGTAGCGTAGTTGGTTGAGGGGCTATGCTACAAGCCGGAAGGTGGCAGGTTCAAATCCCGATAAAGTCATTGAATTTTTTTTTTTTCAATTGACCTAATCCTTCCAGCCGCATTACGGCCCTGGGGTCGACTCAGCCTCTAACAGAAATGAGTACCAGGAATAAATTAAATAATTTTCTTGGGGAGTAAAGGGCAGCCGGTGCGTAAGGCTGAGAACCTTACCGCCATCTTTGAGCCGATTGTCTAGATAATGTGGGACCCTCAACGTCACACAGCCCAATGGGCCTTCATGGCCTGTTACAGGGATAGCTTTTTTTTTGCTGAGTCAGATTCATTTGCATTAGTTATTGTATAAAAACATGTTACAATACACTTGTTCTTCCATGGCAACAAAGTGTGGAACCGGAATTTATTTAATACTGCGGTAATTTTTTTTCCTGTAGCGAAAATAAAGTGTAATAACTTCCATAAGCATCTCATTAAGCCAATTATATGACTCATTTTGCGTTCGGTTCTCAATCCTACAAATACAGAAAACATACATACATGTTCCTTAGGCGTCCCTTACTCTTGTCATGTCCTACATGGAAATTTACAGTGGATACAATTAAGTGTCACGGAACTATCAACATAACAAATACGTATATAGTACCAAGCAATGAGAAACATTTCTTCTTATACGGGGTATTTCTTTTTCAACTCGTCAAAAAAATCAGGAATTTATTGGCCTTAATGAGTTCTATACAATATTTTATCATGTACTAATGCTTGTAAAATAAGCCACCTATGAAAAATTATAAGAAAATGTAAAGCTATCCCTGTAACAGGCCATGGAGGCCCATAGGATTGTGAGACATCGAGCCTCCCACATTTTCTAGACAATCAGCTCACAGATGGCGGTGAGATTGCCAGCCTTACGCGCAGGTCTCCCTTTACCCCCAAGAAGATTCCTGGTACGCATTTCTGTTAGAGGCTGAGTCAACCCCAGGGCCATGGTGCGGCTGGGAGGATTAGGTCAATTGAAAAAATCCACTTCATTGGGACTCGAACCCGCGACCTTCCGGCTTGTAGCATTGTGACTCAACAAACAATAAAAAATAAAAAATAAATCCTTATCATATACCGGTAATGAAGCGATGGCCGGTACGCATTACCTTACATCAGACTTGCGGAAAAGTGTTTTGAGCATAAAATACTTCATTATTCTATACCACTCTTTTTTTGTCGAAATATTTTTAGCACCATATTCAGCGAATTACGCTCAAGGCTCACGCAGAAGCGCATGTAGGTGCCCATGTGAAGCAGTCATTTATGTATGACTTTAAACCGAAACAGGAATATGCACACAAATTTTGGAGGAAGTTCCCAATATCGCGTTTCATTGAAATCCGCTCAGCGGTTAATAGGCGCCTTTTTTTTTTGGCAAATTTTCGTTGCAAAGGCACCAAAAAAAATCCTCACCATCAACGACGCAGACCCACTCGTTTGGCACACCCACGCTCTTGCGTTTTAATGGTAATAAGGGTTGTAAAATGGGCCAAATGTCTCCGTTTACAATTCTAACAGTCAGCTGTAACTACGCCCAATGTGAAAACAAAGGTAAAAAAACAAAGCAGCACATGAAGAAAGCAGNCACATCACTTCGAAAACAAGTGCATGAATATCTACGACATTAAAAGAAAATGGCTACCATTTAAAACAATGTTTCATTCACGCTATTCACAAATATAATTATCAAGTTCAACTAATGTACATATTTCTAAACAAGGCGCGTGGAATGCGTTAATACGCTGTCACAGCTGTAAAACTGAAAGTAAAATTGTCCCTGTGCTTAACTAATTAAACACTACGCCGTGAAGACGTATGGGGGAGTGGATGTATAGGTCCACTATTCTTGACCTCGGTACTACATGGAGGTGAGTAGTCAGCTTCACGCCCAGGCCGTTTTACCCCTAAGGAAAGAGCCCGTGGTACCCAATGGAGAGGAGGCTCGCGGGGCCAAGAACCAATCTAGACGATGTGGAGGAGAAAAATCTTGCCACTATAGAGACTCGAACTCCGACCCCTCTACCGTCCAGCCCGTTGCCAGTCGCCATACCGCCTGTGTCATCCCGACTCTCCGTAGCTATAAAACGTAAATAAAACACTAGCTCGGTCTTATTCCAGCATTAACTGGTTTCATGTCAACGCCACTTCACACCGACAACAATCACATGCCGAAAAAAAATCGGTATGGGAACTACCATCGTCTCCTCAGTCGTCTAACATTTCTTCATCTATTTAGTTGAAAGTCCGTAACTTTTTTCCTTACCAACGTTGGCTAGTAAATAATTCTGTTTTTGCTTGAAATGCTCTCTTCTCGTTCAGATATCGGCGACAGAGAGCAGCATCGACGTGCAAGGCGTGTGCTACCATCTCATGGCAGTATTTCAAATTATCGGCGTCCAATATTAATTGAAACAAACATGGAATACAAAATAAACAAACATAATTCAACCCGGCACACATAAAATTCATCAAAACAAATTCTATAAAAGCGTGTAAAACTACCAAATTTGAATACATTAAATGGTCATTATGTTGACTACAGTATTAATAATCGTATATACGACAGCTTTATTTCATATATCCCTTACGAATGTAAGAGATATATAAATTATCGTATTAATTCCTGTCAAGCACAACAATTCACCAAATAACTCACTCACACTTTATTGTGTACAACTGCGTTTTACTGGTCTACAATTGTTGTGTTTGACAGGAATTAATACGATAATTTTTATACAACATGTAACACACATCAGGACGCATTCCTTTAAAGAACGTAAGATATGTTCGGGTAAAATCTTATTCGGATATGCCTTCGTTAATAAAGTTAGTACATGTAAGGCCTACAAACGGGTTTACTAATGAAAAAAGAAGTTTGTGAATCGGTCAAATGCATGTGTTTTCACTTATAATCTTGGGTTGTAACAGTCAACCCATGGGACATATTTTAGAAAAACGCACAACTGGTAGTTGTGCATATTAACTAGCTATACATTACATGCTTCGCAACATTCCAGAGAAGAAAACCATAACCTCTTTCTTTACAACCACAACTATTTAACTATTCAAATATGGGTACCGGTAGAGAGTAACCCGAACATCTCCCACCCCTTCCCCCTCGGCTTCTTGGAAAAATCAAAATTGGGGAGGGGGGGGGAAGTACTAGTATATAACAATTATTAATGTCAAAAATTAAACTGCGATGTTCTTAAACACTGTTTTTGATGTCATCTATGTTTCAAAGTTTAACGTTTGTTTGCATATCTCCTGGGTTCCCTCACCCAGCATCCCCTTGGGGGAAAATACCCTGGCGGCATCGATAATTCTGAGGTAAATATCCCTTCAACGAGAAACAAGGAAAACACTGAAATGGTGTCCTACCTTCATACTGTGCAAAAATGATGCAGTGGCTGGATCGCACTGGACAATACCGGGAAGCGGCGTCATGCTGACATAATGTTGCACTGATAATCACTTGAAAAACGATCTTTTCGTTGATATATCAAGTCACATTCCAAGTATGAGTAATTAGGCACACTATCCCACACCTTACTCACTTATGAAATTAGAAATATCCGGCATTAAGTGAAGTTTCCCCTAAACTTTTCACAACTCCATATTTCATTCCATTTACTCGAGCGCACTATACGTAATTACGTCACGATCGGTCACGATGGTCATGATACTCATGCGGACAAATGAGAGAGAGCAGCATCAAACAATAGGCATCTACTGCCATCTTGTGGTGAGCACAAAATAACTTCACTCATCTTTAACGCGGGGACAATCGGAACATCGGAAGCTGTAGTAATACACAAAAGGCCGCGCCACAACTCAAGCGGTTAGTCGCTGACTTCCCACCGCGGCGACCTGGGTTCGATCCCGGGTCTGGTCAAGTGAGATTTTTGGTGGACAAACTGGCGCTAGGGCGGGTTTTCTCCGAGTACTTCGGTTTCCTCCTGCCAATCTTCATTCCACCAAATTCTCAATCATCATAATCACCCAGTGGCAGGTACAATAGGCCAATCAGTGGCTGCCATACCAAGTGGACCCAGTGGACAAGATATCAAAGAAATATCATGCTTTACATATTGGCAATGGAAACTTTTTTCCCATCTTTTTATGAATAAATATTGTCATATATTTTGTTTCCCAAATGTCAAATTACAAATAGTGCAACAGGGTCCAACGATTTGGAACAGATATCAGTATTCAGAAATACTATAAGAATATTACATACCAAATTCAAGCTGTGTTCTTTTTCAGCATCTCCAGTCTTTCTTCTGTTCTGTGTTTGGAGTGCTTGATAAAATCAAAATGTAAATGATCAGTTTGTCTAAACTGTGGTATATTGGTGTCTGGCTAAGTAGAACTAAACACATTTTTATATGTTTTTGAATAGATATTCTGTAATTAACGAAATGTATAAATCCTTCCAGCCGCACTGGTTTACTCAGCCACTAACAGAAATGAGTACCAGGAATTAATTAAATAATTTTCTTGGGGAGTAAAGCGCGGCCAGCGTGTAAGGCTGACAACCTTACCGCCATCTTTGAGCCGATTGTCTAGATGATGTGGGACCCTCAATGTCTCACAACCCTATGGGCCTTCATGGCCTGGTACAGGGATAGCTTTACTTTTTACTTTTTTTTTTACATGAAAATCTTGAGATGGTACGCCATAATTATTCCTGTAAGAACTTGTGATAACATTTCCATGCCAGAGGAACTCTTGACTGATCACAGCATATAACTGGTCCAGTGGCATTACATATCTATTCTTGTTTTCATCATTATTACAGTTGCTGTAAAAGAAAACGCCTATTTGTGATCTACAAAATTATAATTCTTGATGCAAGATCTGTAATCTCACACTCAAGAGGACTGCCATCAAGATACAATATTTCACGTTCATGAGACTTCATGAAACATCTAGAAACCTCCAAAAACCTCAAGAATTAATCCTCTTTACTGCTACACTCAGTATTACAGATTTTCAAGAACTGTCATGCTGATTTTCTAAATAAATAGAACTTAGAAAAGTGATCTCTGTGTCTAAGACCCAATGCTGAAAGTGATGACAGTTGAATACTCTGCACAATATCGCTGTCTGTTCACAGATGTGCAGTATGTTCAGCAAGAAACAGCCATTAAACATCAGTCGGACTGTATCATGGTAGGCTTGGCATTGCCTGCCTCACCAACTGAAGTTTCACTGCAAGAAAGAAGTAAATACTAAATAATACAGAGAGTATGATTTTTTTGGGTTTCACAAGTAGTTACCAATATTCTGAAGGAACCCACTGCCTCCATCTTCACAGTAGAAGTGAACATGCTGAGGAACTGGCCCAGTTATATGGACAGGTTACAAGGAAGGTGGCCACTCAGATCCAAAGGACATAAGGGAGTGGAACCAAATCCTAACAGCAGTTAGGAAAACAGCACTTTTAAGGGCACATTTTTTCTATCAAAGATAGGAAATGGAATTGTGGGAAAAGATGACTCTTTCTGAGGCTTCTTATGGTCTTTCATAACAAGCTTGTTTTTACAGCGATGAGTTGTTAGCCCCACTCCAAACACCCAAGTTGGAGGACCACCTCTTGTCACCTATCTGTGGCTGCTTATTCAATATATTCACAGCTACCCTCCATACCTGGAGGGCGTCTCCTCCACCCGCAACCTGAGAATGCCCCATGTCATGGTGACAAGGGAATTTCTTGAGTAGCTGCACAATTGGCAGCTTCTCAAGAAGGGCTCAGCTCCACAAGTGAGTAAGCATAAAGAAAAACACACAAACTTTAATTGATGCTAGTAAGGTCAGTCTAGAAGTAAATACAAAGAAAACTAAATATATGTTGCTGTCTCATCAACAAAATGCTGGGCAAAATCATGACATTAAAGATAGGTAACATATCTTTTGACAATGTGGCACAGTTCAGATATTTGGGAATGACTATTACAAATCAAAACCTGATTCAAGAGGAAATTAAGAGGAGATTGAACTGAGGTAATGCTTGCTATCATTCAATCCAGAACCTTTTGTCTTCTTGTCTGCCATCTAAAAACATAAAAATTAGAATATACAAAACTATAATTTTGCCAGTGGTTCTGTATGGGTGTGAAACTTGGTATCTGACTTTAAGGGATGAAGATAGACTGAGGGAGTTTGAGAACAAGGTGCTGAGGAGAATATTTCAACTGAAGAGAGATGAAGTGACAGGAAGTTGGAGAAAACTGTATAATGAGGAACTTCATAACTTGTACTCTTCTCCAAGTATAAGTAGAATGATCAAGTCAAGAAGGATGAGATGGGCAGAGCATCTAGCATGAATGGGGGAGAGGGGGAATACATATATTATATTGGTGGGAAAGCCACAAGGAAGGAGACTACTGGGAAGATCAGATGTAAGTGGGTGGACAATATTAAAATGGATCTTAGAGAAATGGAATGGGATAGTATCAATTGGATTGATCTGGTTCAGGATAGGGACCAGTGGAGGGCTCTTGTGAACATGGTAATGAACCTTGGGGTTCCATAAAATGCTGTGAAATTCTTGAGTGGCTGCACAATTGGTAGCTTCTCAAGAAGGGCTCAGCTCCGTGACTGTTGACCCTTTCCAGAGGCAGAAATTGTTTACAGTATGACAAGTGAAACGGTGAGAAAAAACAGCCTTTTAGAAAGCCCCCACTTGTTTTCCTCACAGTATGGAAACTGAACACTGAGAACTGGGAAAAGGCAGTCTTTTTAGGATTCCAATGGATGGAAATGTGACATGAGAAACTGATCCTTTCTTTGGAGGCCTGGCTACAAGAGTTCAGATTTTATTCTGAATGCTGAGGCAATTCGTTTTCTTCATTTAGTGTGACATTTCAGCGGCTAACTACTAGGACTGCGTACTGATGTGGAATCAATTTCCTGGCTCTGTTCAGCTGCTTCTTCTTCCTCCTCTGTTCCTGGCAGCACAAGTCTGTCATCTAGGTAGAGCACACTGTCACAGTACACACAAACTGGAGCTTCAACCAAACCTGTGAACAAGTATGATCTCAGTCAACAGAAAGGGATGCTGCCTTCCATTCCCACTACATGTCCCCTCATCCAGAAAGTTAGGACCCTAAGCCTAAGCTGCACTCCTGATTCTAGGTTATGCATATCATCCTCCGTTTTCACAAATAAATTCACCTTTACATCTTTACATGAAGCACAAAATGCTTTCTTTTAGTTATCCCTTAAATCTCATAAGAATCATATCAAACCTGTATCAGAGGCCATAAAAAGAGTGAAAAGAGTTACACAGGAATTTCACAATCTTGATAATACTCAGACAAATGTATAGTCCAGAATTTACCTGAGTTTGTGTGGGCAACAGAATGGCACAAACGACATATCCAGTATGGGATATGTGAACACTGGAGAAGTGACAGGCAGCACCGGGGTAATGAGTGACCAGCTGGACACTGCAATTCGATGGGGTTATCTATCCTGTCACACTGTGGAACAGCAAGTCAAGGAAACACACAGCACACTCCTTTATTATTAACTAAAAACAATTGGTACAGCCTAGTTTATAAACACATTATCCCTGGCACTATGGGACTCATGCCCAGATTTTAATTGGCTTCTCACCACAGAGCCCCAGGTTTGATCCAAAGAATCTTCAAGCAAAACTTGTCATGAAATGGCACTGGATCAGATTTCTCTCTTCTTTTTGGCCTTCCTCTGCTGATCATCAGTCCACCATTGCTCCATACCCATCTATCACCAGTCCTCAAGGTATGCAATAGCTCTGACCAGGCATCACATTATCATATCTTTTAGTTTTGTTCTTCATCTCTAACCCAATACTTGCCTAGTTAGACAGCCAAAACAGTAGTTAACTGTTAGTCTTAAGATGGAGTGCACGGCAAGCTAAACCACAGGCATGCACACTACAGAAACATGCAGCCAGTAAAGGCTACCACAACACTACCACAAGCACAGATCATATGGCAGTATTTCAGAGTAAAATCATGAAGTGGGTCAACATAATGAATAAATGGCATAGTCAAATTTAATGATGAGCTTGAACAGAAATGTAGCAATGAGAATTAGAAAAGAAATCATATACATGCAAGAAATAAAATATGCTGGCTGCAGAAATCAGATATAAAAAAAAGGATATCTTTATCACAGATTGAGCAGTGCTCAGAGCCCAGCTGGTGCTGAAATTTCCTGGCACGATGGACAATGTCCCTCACTGCAGCCTGTGTTGGGCCATCAGCATTCATTTCTGTTAAACACAAAAAAAAACTGTATTTCAGACATCTGCTTCATGCCATAAATCCTACAATAGGATTTCACACCCCTCTAGAATTTTAAGTTTTTATGGACAAAATTTCTTATGTCTTCTTAGAATTGAAATTATTCAAATGCAGCCACGCCATACACATATGACGCCCTTGCTAATGTGGTGGCCAGACCCATTCCTTTGTGGAGACAGATCTATTATTTTTCTAGAAAGTTGTCTTAACACAGACATATACAAGAGAGAAAGAATATTTTTAAGTTGCTATACAGATCATCAGTCCTTAAATGTGGCTGGATGTTTACTAGTACCTCTAGATATGATCTGTTGAGCCTTTCTGGCCTCTGCTTATCT